AACCAAGTGAATGGAAGATAATGTCCCATGACTGTGACGAGTCCATTTTGTCACTGTTGACTAGAAGTTAATCTACGTGTACAGAATGAGGACTGCTTGCTTAGCCTGAGTGAGCTTGATTTCTATTTTGCTTTTTCGAAACTGTGTTGATCATTGTTCTATTAAGATCTAGAGAAAGGGGCAAGTAGTTGTGGCAAGGATCGCCAAAGCTCCTAAGCGGAAGCACTATCGGGAATTCGATCGTGGGTCAGAGAAATTCCGTTTAGATGTACACCGACTAATTTCCAAAATCTGTGAGACACCCACCTACATATTTCCAGGATGAAGAGAAGAGAACTTCCCTTCATGGAATTCAGAAGCTCTTTCCGCATCTATCGAATCTTCCGGAAGATTTCTGATTTGACTACATTTCTTCGAAGCCCTATATCCCATCTGATGAGGAATCCTTCCACAATGAACAGACTGAAAGTCTCATTGACTTTTTTTCAAAACTTTCCTCTTTCCATGCCCCCAGCGACTAAACTAGTGTGGGCAGGCCCTTCTGGACAACAAGCACCAATGTTAAGCCACCGGACAGTGATTGTCAATATTACACGAAATGACACTTCGTAGCCTTCATTGTTTCTCTGAGCAAGGACGATCTGCTGGACTATTATGGCTCGCGACAGGAACAAATGGAGACGTTACCGAAGTCCGCTCAAGAAGTCGATGATCAATGGACGATAGGCGACAGATGATGCTCCACAAGTCCTTCCCCAACCGCCGGTGCTTCCTACCCACGTTCAGGATAAATATTGCTGAGAATTCCGTCTAAGGTAGGACCCTGAGCAGAGTTGGAACGATGCAAACCAAATTGGGCACTTTTCTCGATCTTCATTAGAAGAAAGGCAGGGGAATCGACGAACGGCGCCATGATATACTATCGAACTGCTATCTGTTCAAATCCGTTATTCTTCCTATAAAATCAGTATGAAACTTAAACTGATATAGAAACTTCAGGCGAGACAAAGACTACTGGCCAATGCAGGCATGAGTAGTTCTCTTCTGTCATAAACGTCTGAGGACCTAAAATTGCAACTTTTGACAGAACTGCGATTATTCTGTTCCTTTCGCAAAGACTAGTATACTTTTAGCTAAGAATAGTTCCAAATTATCTACTCGTAAGAAGTTATTTTGATAATGAAATGGATTAATAACACAGATTATTTGAACTCTGATCAGCTGCTCTCAGCGTAACTTTGAAAAAAAGAGTAAGTTTACAATGATGACAACACCACCGGCTTATCATAAGTGATCAGGACAGAAAAAAGTTTAAACACTTTTCTGCGAGACTCCTTAAGTGAGAGATTAAACTGTCATCTACCTAACAAACCATCCCTGGTTTTAAGTTGGCAAACAGTAATATTCAAAACAGATGAAGATGAAACAATTACTGCTTTCATCTGTGTCATGTGATGAGGAGAAGCTTTACATACATCAATAGAGGTCGGAAACGGATGAGCTTTCCTTACAAGTAGACGTTTGATCGTGCGCATCATATCCGTTTTTGATCCCAAGGGATCGAAGGCTCTGCCACCGCCGGCTTCATCCAATCGATACGGGAAAGAAATGGAATTGAGCGGGAGTGGGGAGGGAGAGGGCCGGGGGGAATGTGGAGCGGGGAAAGAAAAGAATTCAGAGGAAAAGTTTCCCTGTTTCACATAGAGAATTTTTCCGCCCTGGTTAGACAGAAATGCTAATCAGAGGGTTATCAAGAGGATTTTCCGGGATCAGGCCTTAGAGCAGAAACTACATCGAGTTCACTATGGCTGCATTCTATCTCCAACACTAATGCGAGTTAACTGAGTCACTATGGGATGAAGCTCTTGAGATACTGAACCTTATTTCTGAAGAATCTACCTTCCTTTCATAAGGTTTATAACCCAGACTTTCTTTGAAGCCAGGGTCCCACTGCTCCAATGACAACATAGGTTTAAAAAACAGAAGTGAGATCAATTCGTGAGATAATTACTGGACAGAAGTTTCCTTCACGTACTTATATCAAAAATTATCGGAATAATGATAAGCTCACTTACAACTTCGCCCTTGATCGCGCCGACCAGCCGCTTTTGATCTCAGGGGATCGAAGGTGCTGAGGTCCCATCGATTCGTGAAGGGAATGAGGTGTTGGCGAAAGTCGGGGACCCTCGTTCATACCGGTTTCTTCAACCACACATAAATATTTGTTACCATTAAAAGAACTTTAAGGGATGAAGTGATTTCTGTGCACGTTCTGAACGCTGGCCAACGACGGCCACTTCGTCAGTTGCTTTAACATTTTATTCAGCAGATTCGAATATCTTGCATCCTTCCATGTTCGTAAAAAGCCATTCAAATGGCAACAGCTCCCTACAGTTCCTATTTTCACTGAGTGGAGCAAATTATTCATGTTTCAAGTGAACGGATATTTCAGAATGATTCATTGGCTTTATCCCGTTTAACATCGCACATTGCGATGCACAATATGTATAATATGCAATGTACACATAACTATTGTGAGTGATATTTGTTGTTTTTAGGCAGTCGCTTGTCTTCGCTGCTCGATAGCGGCCGTTGTTTCGTTTTGGAAGAATTTCGTCAGATAAATGGACTCCATCAGGTTCACAACCAACTTCTCGCTAAAAAGACACACGACATCAGTTTCAGGAACCCTCGAAAGGAAGGAAGGAAAGTAGGGATAGCAATAATAACCTTGACTTTTGTTGATCATCGAATTTCGGAAGAAATTCCACAATTTCCGTGGCCAGCAGTTTCGACAGGTCCAATGTGAGCACCGTTCGAAGGAAGTCACTGGCTACGATACCGTTCTCAGCCGGGGTGCCGACAGCCGGGGCGTCGGCCACGTCGAAACCATCGATGTCAATGGACATTCCGAATCCAACTGTGTTCCTGCAAGAAGATTTACGATCTCTTATCATTGCCCATGATTCTTCTTCACATTCACAAAAACCTATCGTCCGATTGCAGTGTCGTGACTTTTCAAAGTTTCTTTTTTGACATATCGTCTCACCGAAGTGTCTTTAAAGGTCATCTATGGAAACGGGTTTAATAATGTCTGATCACCAACCTGGTTACCATGTAAAGGGCTTCGTGCATCACTTCAGAGATACCTCGTCGCTCCACCTCATCCATATAGAAAATTCGCACCCCGAGCCGTTCGAGAAGTTCCTAAAAGGTGATCTTTGTTGTTGACTGATTGCGTTTGGTTTTTGATTCGTGATGAATATATATCGCTAGAAGACGGTAGTCGCTCATTGTAACAATGGCATTGAAAAACGAGAACAGATCGAGACGGTATAGACGACTGTCATGCAAAGAAAGCAGAGTTTTTAGAGTAATACGAACCTGTTCACCATTTTCATAACTTCGGATACCGACCATGCACATATTGTGAGGTAGGACTTTCGGTAAACGATCACCAATTCGAATGAGATTCTTGTCACCGTAGCCAAGCAAATGGGCAACCGGCATTCCGTGAATATTGCCCGATGGGGTTGACGAAGGTGTATGGGCATCCTGAAACAGCATCGTACAATTTACTCCAGTGCAACAGTAAGGACAGGTATTCGGAAAGGCATATGGGGTCATCAACTGTGCAGGTGGTGAATCAGCTTATAGAACCACGCAGGATCAAAAGGGTTTGCTGGAAAAATTGCTTGGCAATACTGTTTGCCAGTCCAGACTTTGTTAAACTATGAGAAGGTTGAGCTCTTCGAGATGGGAAACAGGAAATCTACGCATTATTTGACCGATATCGTTCACAGTCATCTGATGTTCATACAGGGAGGGGAGTAGCTCAAAATTTCTATTTCTGAATGTTGACTTCGATAAAGGCAGGAATTTAGGGCGAATTTCCAGTTTCTAGTGCATTTTCAACTTACGTGATCCCAGACTTGTTTACTATATAGTTTACTGCATCGTGTACCCATAAGTTGATTTCCATGGAATTTGCAATCGAGCCCCTTCAAGAGCCTCTCGCTTGTTCTCACAGCCCCTTTTTCTAGTGGCCCTGTTGTTAGTATTTTATGAGTCCCACTATATGTTTGCATAGGGTTTGTTAGAACATCCATATGCCGTTTAATCTAAGGATTACTAGTATTATGAGTACAGTATGTCAATTTGCAACTCTCTTGTCTACGTGCAAAACTGCAAAAGCGCGAAGACCAAAAGTTGATTGACCAAAAGGGCACTATCATCTCCCGAGTGTCTTGCAAACTATTCATCAAATGGCCTGGGAAATGCAAAAAGCATTCAGATATAAAGTGCAAGAACAGGTCCATCGATCATTAGAACTTTAAAGATCAGCCTACCATATGGGCGTCGACCCAGATTAGACCGAGATCTCCATGTGGCCGAATGGCTGCCGCTACTCCACTCCACGTTCCCATGGCACAACTATGATCGCCTCCAAGTACCAGCAGATCCTCCTTGTTCTCTATGGCGTTTCTTGTGTGATACGCCAGTTCCCGGCATGTCTGAAACACCTCATTTCGGACATACAAGTATCAATAAACTGGTAAAAACACAATAACTCTTTAGTATCTCACATTGGACACAATCTTCAGAATTCTATCAATCACCTGCAGTAGGGTATCCGAATTTCTTCAGCTACATTCAACTACGGAGAAATAAAACCATCAACGGGGTTTTCTTTCAGAAATGTAATGTAAAGGAACAGCGGCATTTACTGTATCTGTGCCCATGGTGTGGCTACCCAGTAGACTTACTGTAACTAACTTTGCTCTCAAGCGCTTTCAAAAGCTTCAAGTTAGATTCACTTACATACCTGTGTAACTCCAGGGAGTGCAGCAAACTGTCGCCCGGTCTCGACCTCTTGAACTAAACTCTTCCATTGGAGAGGAACCCGCAGTTCTGAGAGGAATTTCGAGTTTCGTAGGACATGCACGGCGTGTTCACAGCCAAGCTGCCTTAATAGGTTTTAGCTTAGAATTGAACTAATTAGCAATAGAAGCGGTGAGCTTACCTGCCACCGTTCCCGTTTGCGCAGCCGATAGCCGTAATAACTTGTTGTGAGAGTTTAGCTGACCTCTTCATAGTGTGATCGTATTCCTGAAATGAATCTATTAGAGGAGCCGAAATGATGAGCTGAGTGAGACACGAGAAAGCGAACGAGTTCCAGTTACGGTATGCGTAAGACTGACTGAATGTCTGACATTTGCCGACCATATATCGTCCAGCCCCCACGTGGTCACGCCTACACAGGGGGCTATCCCCGATCTGGAAAGTGTCGTCGACAGCGCCGTCACTTCTTCGAGTGTCGACGAAATGAGCCATGTGCGATCACGTCTTCCTGTGTTACAGGTATGCGCAGGTCCTGTGAAAAAAATGAAATCTTGAAAAGTCAACACTGTAAGAAGGTTCTTCGTGCAACAGTGATAACGTTGGCTATCTAATTCAATGATTTTTCATTTTTGGTGTAGCGATTATTTTTGAATAAATGATTCATCGCGTTGGTAGGAGAGAGAGAGACCTGCCCGGCAAGTACATGATATCTCACTAAGTATGCTCTGAGCGAAAACACTTGCTGAAATTGTACCTGAGCCATGGAAGGAAAAAATGGGGAAGATATCCCTTCACGTGGAATCTCATGGAGGGCCATTACCACCACAGAATACTTTAGAAGAGAAGTATCGCTTTTTCAGCTGGAGGGTAGACTTTTGGAGGGGGGGGGGGGNGGGGGGGGGGGGAGCTAAGACTGGCAAATATACAGACCAGACACAGGTTCGGAGTAAAGATAACTCTGCCTACACCATCTTTGTTGCTCTATCAACAGGTACGAGGTCAATCTGAAGAAGGTAAATAACAGGAGACTAGGGTCATAAAGCGAAAGCAGACCAGACCGAAGTATAACATCTTGGCAAGGTCCTTCAATGATGTTCTAGGAGATACTCATTACTGTCCACGTTTTATTACTAGTCTAGTAGTTGTCAAGTCTATCATTTGATTGTTTGTTTGTATATTACTCAGTATGATCTGCTTCTGTTACTATTCAGCAACTACACATCTACGAAATGAAATAAATATATAGACACAACATATAAGGAAGTGGTGAAGTAGTGACAAACGACGCATTGTGAACGAATCTCCCGATCGATATCCACCCAGGCTAATAAAGCCTTCCATTCCTCTGCGATTAATCGGTACCAGACATGTTTGGGAGGATAAACGCACTAACGTGTACACTTAACCTCCACAGCTGATTATATGGGCCACAACCGCCTATGTGATTTGAACGGAAGTCGAATGCGGGGCGCATCCAAGAAAAAACGGGATTGATTAACGACAAACACTTTAACTTCCTATTTGCATATAAGGACTGCTAGTTGCATGAAATAACTGCTATAACTAACATCAAAAGCTTGTCTTGGTGGTAACCGCATCATTTTTGGCCGTAGTCTGTGGAGAGAAAATGGAAACTGTGGTATCGCAACTGGTGACTTTCTATGACCATGGGATGCTCCTGTGCCTGCGCCGTTTACAAACTAGTTTTTGCTATGTTTAGAATGGTGATATCGATGTATCATCGGATAAAATCGCTCATTATCACTATATCATACTTACTTTCTGCAGATTTTTTTGTGCAGACCTCTACCCCTTGTATCTACCAAAAATTAGTTTTATTTTTGGACCCAAAGACGATTTTAGCATTGATTAGACTTGTAGAATACAAATAATGAAAATTTCAATGGGAAAAGAAATACAAAATGAAATCGGAGACACGGGAAAGCTCAAAAGACATTAACAGTTCTGGAACAGTCATGGGGTTTCTCGCCCGATAGAATCGATTTCATGGCTCCACCCTTTTCTTTGATCCCTCTGTAGATCATTATTTTCAAAAAAAAAAAATTCACAATCACGGGTTAAATCCCAGCTTCCATCAAAACATTCATTTCGAGTTTCCTTTTCTCAAAAATGCCCTTTCCGAAGTTTTCCCGAAATCAAAATCACAGAGGTCCAGAATCCGGATGTGGCAATGCGCTGCTCTCGAGTCGTGTAGTAGTTTGTAAGAGCAGGTAGAAGTTGCTAGTTTGAGCGGAACTTATGCGAGAACCCCAAATTCTTCTCGGGTTTTCCATGAGCTTTCTATAATAGGCCATTACCAGCTCCTATACGCACTTCTTACTTCTTGACTGCTCACTTCACCACATAATTACCGAACTGCCCATACAACAACTTCTTAACGAGTTCAAATATGAACACTCGATGCTGAAACCCATGAAAATTGTGACGAGTATTTGGATTTCATACCCCTTCTGAACTATTCTGTACGCACTTCGTTCCAACACTTCATTGCCTGCAACAAAAACGTCCGAGATCGACCTCGATCTGGTCAGCCGATCGTGATATAATGGATTTTCCTGATATGTTATACCCACGCAGCTGCATAGTGCCCTCTCAAAGCATTTCTATGAAAGATTCCAGAAAATCTCGGAAGAAATCTGGACTTGGAAGATATTTTCCGCACAATCTTACAGTATTTTTCCCCATCTCACATCAACTAACCCATCGAGAAGGTGTTAATGTAGTGAAGTATTTGCTTTTCTCACCTCTGGCCCACCTTATCCATGCAATACCATGCACTTAGCAATGTAATCATGCATAAGTGCCCAGTCGCATTCGGGTGTTTCCCGTTGATCTTTCTAAAGCAGCTACCACATAATGGCGTGATTCTGTGCACGCTATCGCATATCCCTTTGATGGCGAATACCAATGGTTGGGGCCTATGAGATCAGAGACCAAATCGTCAACAGGTCAACCATACGTCATACGTGGCCCTTTGCGTGGGATATGTGTTTTGGGGGATACCCCACCACCACGCGCAGACATCCCGACACCTGGTGTCGCAGCCTCTGCCGATTCCCACAAAATTACGAGTGCCGGGACTTATTGGCACAAAATAACCCTTTCTGGACTACCGAGGAGTTGATGACTTTTGAGTGCTTTTTGATAAGAACAGAACACCAGTTACATAGTTGTTGCTCATGCAAATTTATGAAGCATTTCGAATTTCAGTACAAATAAATTATTAGGGAACGATCAAATTGAAAATAGATTTGAAAACAACTTAATTTTGGAGTTTTCGTGTCGGGCACATGGTTAATCTTTCCAAAATCAATGCTGAGCCCAACCTGGGCCGAGGGTCGCGGCACAGAAGGATCCCAGAGCCCCCAAAAGGATTAAAGCCTAGTATAAGGAAAACAAACCATGTCCAAAATGAAAGAGAAGGCATATCCAAGAATGTTCTTTATTTTTTTAAATCAATGCTTGTATATACTATCGCTTCCTAATTAGGTAGTTCGAACACACGAGGATCATCAGAGACCGGCTTGTCATCCCCTTTTGTTATACTCTGTTATCAAGAGCAAGTGGTTTTGTTACTAAATTGTAAACAAGATTATTTTTTACAGCAGTTTTGCTCTGGCTCTAACCTGAATCCGTTTCTGAGCGAGAGATTGCCTTTACGAGGGATGTTGTGATGGTCGTGTATACTGTGAGAGTCTGCAAATTCAGGGTAGTCGCGTGAGCCTATCCATAAATGTGACAAAGTTTTTGTACAAAATATCCAAGTACCAAGACTCTTTTTATCTCTTATCTCATTTCAATGATTTCAACTATTAGGAGCTCATATTTGTGTGGCCATATCACAGTAGCTGTCTGAGAACGTCTGTTTTTGACTGTGAAGTTTTATTTTTGATTTTTGGCTGATCAACTGATGGCTGTAGAAAAGAAGACAAGTGATAGAAATGATAGATTAAATGATGAATGAATCAAAGTAGAAAGAGCGATCGCCGTTGCAAACCAGCTGAACTGTCAACGCTTGCGTGATTGTTGTTCGAAAATCACTGTGTTGATAAAAGTACAGAAATGAAAACAGAAAAAAAGTCGAATTCCTGAAATTCTGCTATTTCATATCGCAACTAAAGCTAACTTAAGAAAAGTTGAAGGAATAGCAACTTTTGGAGGTATCGGCTTTCAAAAAGCGCCACGCATACCAATTTATTCCGGCCGGTTCTATTTCCATTAAACACTAAGAGTCTCATGATCTCAATTACATTCCTGTAGTCGAATGGGTTATTGTAAATAATGTTACTATTTTTGCAACTTATGTTACTTACTGTTACTAGTACCCTAGCCCGTTCATGCAAAACTGCCCTCTTTTGTGTATGTCTGGCCCTAGTTGCATAAACTTCGACGGTATACCCAACTCAGAGAAACGATTTCCCGAGCATGACCCTATGCATGCTTCCCCAATCCAGTGAAAACAGAGGCGATTCTAAGACAATAACATCAAAGCGCCTTAAGGCAGATCTACAAATGCGTAGACAGAACTAAAAATAGAAGTTCTTTACAAAAGAAAACTATCATGATGTTATTTGTTTGGGTCTGTTGTTATCGCTGGCCCTCCCCGCCTGATTATGACGAACATTGCACTGTGTCACGTTTGTTTGCCGCCTCACCTCGGCCCACGTGACTGGGGAATTCCCGAGATAACGATGGTCAGAGATACGAACCATTGCCACGCGGGAGCGTTTTTATACTTATCTGATGGTTTATGTGCAAAATTGAAGCAGGAATTCAAACACAGTAAGTATGAAAGATCAGATAGCACTATTAGGGTCATGTATGACGGCATCGCAGGAGTCCGTGATCTCCCTCATAAGTCCCTGCGCTTGCACGACATTTGAAAAACTCGGGCACGAAGGGAGGGCGTCGGGGGGAGACAACGAAAGAGGATGAACCAAGGGAAGGAGGGAGGAAAGGATGGATAGAGGGAGAGAGATTGAAACTTACAATAAGAAGAGTATATCAGCTCCACACGAAAACTTATTAAGATCAACCTAATCGCTGTCAATTATGGTCTATCATCCCCGAATGAATGGCCTCTCCCGTTCATTTCTATGCAATGACGTCTCTGAAGACATACTAGCTTCTCCTGAATATGTTCATCAAAATGCGCCTGAATTCGATTTGCAAATTTCAACGTTCCAGGATTTCGCGTAGGTTTCAAAGAATCTTACATGCAGAACCATCTA